ATTATTTGGTAGGTCTTCATAGCAGGTATGGGGTCTCGTGTACTACGAACGAGGTGACCCGAAGCTAGTCTCGGTCATTTTTCTCCAACAATTTTCACTCGTTTCGGGAGCTGAGCGACACAAATGGTGGCGGTGACCGTCTGTTCTTATGGGGCAGCTCGTTCTGCAGCACCTCCTCGCGTCCCAGGAGCAGCACAGGAGAACCTTTTCGGAATACATGCCCGGTTTGGACTGCTAGAATGGATCTTCTCCTTGAGAGAGACAAACGGTACTGTGTGGGTTGAAATCATAGAGGACCCATCTCTCATCCCCACTAAGCAGTCTCCCGGAAACTCCTTCTGACGAGGGCAGAGAAGGGGAGACTGACAAGGGGTACCCGGGTGCACAGCGTGCCATCGGTCAAGGTATGAATGATCCATCAAGCCAGTACTTCTTGGTAGTCAAAGGCTTACAGGCGGTGGACGACTGTCAGTTAGGTACATCCGAGTCTTGTCGCAAGACTGCGGGTGGTAGCCTCTGGATCCCCCTTGTCTGCTTCGAGAATGGTGGAGTCTTATACTTCTTGGGGCCGTCCCAACCAAGGTTTGCCTTCGAGGATCGAGTTTCTTTTCGCGAAGCGAGCGAACTAAAAGTGAACGATCCTGACGATAGTGGTGTCCTTTCTCAATGCACTGTTGATGTTACGGACAGCTGCCGTGGCTCCAGTGCCGCGGGGCCACTGATAGAAGATGATGACTCGAAGATACCCCTGTGAAAATGACATCGTAATTAAACCCAGGGAGGAGCAGGCGCCCTCACACACCTCTTGCAGGAAAGCTTCCAGAGTGTCCTACAAGTATGCATGTTACGTCATGTACGAGCATCGAGAATCAAAAACTGTAAGCTTTCCAAAAAACACTGACAGGACCTTTCCTTCCAACCTATATATCATACGTTGGGAAGACAACTTCAGGACGATTCCACTGATATTAAGGCCATTTTTTGGAGGCACATATTATGAACTGGGGACTTAGGGCTTCGAATTTTCCTTTCCCACTAATGCAATCACATTGGATTCAAAATGCGAATTTACTCGATGGAAGCCATTAATACAAAGTAAAAGAACAGTTTCCTCATCACAAGAATTTGATAACTTGTAACATCATGTGATGAACACACCCCTTGCCTTGGATCCATTATGTTTCCCTCTTTGACTAAGCCTTCTCTGGATCTCCATCAGCTCCCTATTCAGAATGTCTTACCTCAAAAATGACGACAAACAACAACCGCGCGGCCAGTACTTTCCACCACACCAACGAGTATTCTAGTCCATCATCACAGTCTTCTGGTCCATATACGGTTGACCTCACTGACATTATAGAACAAGGTGATCGTCGATACCCACGATACCTGAAGGGGCTATCATTTAAAATACCGAAAATGACGATGTTCCGGACATCTATCAACCTACGTGTTGCTCCTCACTTACCTGCACTGGGTGACATTACTGAACTGCGACGACTTCATATCAAATTCAGTGGCATCAAAGTATGAAAGAGACGAGTTCACATAGCCAGTCATTGAACTATTCGCGATATAGTACATAGTTTTCGGGATGAAATCTGATGTGAACGCTATCACAAGTGCCTGAAAGCAAACTTTTCGACATGGTAAGTAAGAAAAAGTTTGAACACAATTTTACAGGCGACGTTGGAAGAAGTAATATGGCTAATGATAATCGATGCCACAAAGCAACGGTCAGAGTAACGACTTGATAGACTCTTTATGAAGTAGGCGAACGAACATCACAACGAGAGCTCAGTGGGTTCTCAAAATCTCCGAGGTTTAGGAGCGTGGCTGTGTGCTACATTCGAAAACGGCGATGGCTGCGCTTCTGCTGACAATGAGATAAATTTATTTTAGGAAAGTTATGATCATGTCTTTACCCAGTACAAGACAAGTTGATAGTCGTCGCAAATTCCACATAGGATCCCACAAGCAGCACATCCCACGCCATATTCAAATGGAGTACGCAGCCACGCCTACCATTTCTCACTGATGGGAGGTGTTAACTTCATATCCCGTGAAGACGAGGGGTCCTACGTAACATTAATAATGCGGCGACGGTTGCGATTTTCATAAGATATTGTCGCTTCAAGATCAACATAATGGATTATCTTATGCCATGTGCAAATAAAGCGCTGAGTGTAACTTTGGGGTATGTGGCAAGGGAATCGTAATTCGCCGCGCCCAGTGGGCCGTCGCGAATTGACCGTATGACAATGATTTTAGGTGGTATGATCGATAATAGACAAAATGTGACCAAAAATAGACATAAGTGTTTGCCATGATTTTGTCTACAAGAAAACCGATGCTCCCATCGAAAGGGAGTGCACATGAAGGAAGCGTCATGAGTATTGCCGCGCGCGACGGATTTACGATTCTTTTGCCCGTCTCCCGTAACTCTGCCCATCTCTAAGATATGGACTGTTGGACACCAAGCAGAACTGACAACGTATACCTGACATCTTTTTCACACCAGTCTTCTAATCCCTGCCCATGAAACTTGAGCGTCAGTGATTTGGTAGCTTTAAAAATTGAAACTGGTTACAATCAACTACCGTGATGGTTCGAGCGAGATCATAGCAGGAAAAGAGGAGAGGTTAGCAATTCTACAAGCGATTACAGTTTGTAAGACTACATGTGACAATTAGCTAAGTAAAAGAATCTTCAAAGGTCATCCCCTGCATCCTCCGGGAATCTCAGAGCGCGCACCCACTAATATGAAGGGAAGTAGGAGGAGAGGCAGTATTGCCTCTGGATGAGGAAGCAGTTCTGCACCACTACACGAGCGAGCGGCTAAAAGAGTATCGTTGGGCATATTGCATTGTGCCAAATAAAAAGCACGCATATAAGCGACAGACAGCATGCGCTATACTTTTATCGCATGGAATTGAAGGATTGGGTAGGCGGTGGTAGTCTATAGCCAAGCCATATTGGCCATCAAAGTCAATCGCCTGTCGAGAGTTGGCAGAAGTCGTAATGCCCTTTATAAAGGCAGAGCCCACGCAACCTATCTAAACAAATATCATAAACTCATTGCGGAGAGAGAGTGGGGTCGCGCGATCGGCACAAGACAAGTAGTGGACGGTAATGCCGCAAGCTCCTACAGAGTGACCTGTCCAAGTATCTGAGGCCTCATCATCCCGAATATCACACATTGATTTCTTAGCAGCGTATCATACATATGATAGCCGCTACAGCGCTACTGCGTCGCGCTACAGTACGTCGCGCTACAGCTGTAGCGCTACAGTTTGTACCGAACTCCAGCTTTTATGTTTTTTCTTTCTATATCATCCTCTTCTCTTTGTTTCTCATATTTATCTGATAGTGAGCTCCTGTTTTCTACTTTATCACATTTTGATGTAGTTTTTGATACAGAAGACTGTGATAATGGTTTTATTTATCATTTTTGACTTTAATTATTTGGTTTCACAGTTGGCATTGATGTTTGCATGGCTTTGACCTGAATGATCTTGCCAGTTACATGCCTCGTTTCATCAACCGATTGCGAAACTACATTAAAATGTGATAAAGTAGAAAACAGGAGCTCACTATTAGATAAATATGAGAAACAAAGAGAAGAGGATTGAATATAGAAAGAATGAATACAGAATCCTATGCCGCTTATGGATTACGGAGCGAAATCTGCTTTTCGAATTTGCCCCCAATCTCTGCCTGGATCACAGGAAAAAGATTCATGCCGGTTTTCGAGGCATTACCCAACAAAGCTTTGACAGTTTCTTGTACTTTTTTGGCCCAGGAGCGTAAAAATGGCCTTATCTCCCACAACAGGCACGCGAACACTGTCTGGTCACCAATGCGTTAGCACAATGCAAACAAGAAATTCCTTTATGGTTCTTCTGTCTCCGGTAAAAAAACGTTCGCGGGTGCCGTGTTATCTTAGAGTGGCGCGATACTCTTTGCGTGTTTTTGAGCAAAATGCCTTTTAGAACAGAAGACACACTGATTAACGCTAAAAGCAGCCTACCAGAAAAGTAGTGAGGACTAATGCGAGTAACTTGATCATAGGATGGTCAGATATATACGTTGGCTCATACAGATAAATGCGCGCGCTTACTTTTTTTCAATATTGAAAAATTTGTTCCAAAAGTGAAAAGTTTTGCAAGCAAGCTTAATATCGTTTAATAGCAAATTTCTCGTAGTATTAGAATATCAAATTCATATTCAATTAATTCAACTATTAGCATGAAATTTCTAAATAGAGGCAGTTGTCGAAGGTGCTAATTTTCGGCGACTTCATCCAACTTCAACGACTGAAAAATCCACAAAAACTATATCCTCAACCAAAGCTTTTTTGATATTCTTATACTAAGAGAAGTTTGCTATTAAACGATATTAAGCTTGCTTGCAAACCAGTTCACTTTTGGAACAAATTTTTCAGTTGAAAAAAACGGCCATTACTTATTAGCCAACCTAATAGTTACAGCTGCATCAGTCTCACCTTTCCGTGAATTTCTCAAGAAAACTCCAGCAACCTTCCCACTTTTCTCTATAAGCAACTCTAATCATCCTAACGTTGGAAATTGCAGTACGTTGCGAAGCGGTGCTGTAGCGCTACGCTGTAGCGCGACGCTGTAGCGCGACGCAGTAGCGCGACGCTGTAGCGCGACGCTGTAGCGCGACGCTGTAGCGCGACGCTGTAGCGCTACAAGTATGAACGCTGCCTATCTGATCGCCGTGCCAAAAGTAGGGCTTTATTTGGAGCCTTCTCAACGGTTTCCTTTCCTTTTTCCTTCACGAGAGAATCTGTTAGCTTATACAATTCTGTTACTCAACCACGGCTACCCATGATCTTTTTTCGCGGGCTCATCGCGAAGTCTGCCTATAAGGGTCTCTGGTTGAGAACTCACTCAATTTCCCTGTCAGGAACCGCACAGAAATGAAGATGGGAAAAAAAAGTGCTCCGACCGTCGAGAAAGTAACGAAGGTTCTGACTATCAATGTACACCAGAGCTACTGCGGGACGCCAGCCCAAGGTGCATTATCAACCTATACAAATAACGTGCCTCAAAAATGGTAATGGCTGCTGATGGACTCACATTTATGAGAACAGTGGATTTGCTAATCATGTCCAGAATTCTCAACCATACACCGATGTTCCTCGCCTGTAAAGCACAACAAAGTGAGTGTATCTCAGTAACACATTTGGAATAGTTCATAATAACCAACTTGAGCAGGTACAGGCTTCTGGGTTGTAATAAGGAACTTGTAAGCGTCAAGCCTGATCTCGAAAATATTGTTAAGAACAGCAAACAGTGGAGCTAACGGGAATGCCGCCACAAACAATGTCACGAATCCAAATTGGAGTACTGTAAAAGAATGCATCATTCTCATAGAAAAAACAGAGGTTCTGTCTTGAAGTACAGTATTTCTTACCCATTTCCAGATATTCGTCAAACAGGAATTGGTCGTAGGTAGGGCTCAGATAGTAGTCAGCTTCCCACCTAGTCATAATGTGGCCAGTTTTCTGAATCAGGCAGATTAAATAAATGTTGCTTATTAAGGTATGTTACGGTACACGATATCCGCATAAAACGACCATAAATATTGCAGCATAAATATTGCCGAGCATAAATAAATATTGCCGAGCATAAATATTGCCGCTATTGTAATTAAGGGAGCAACGCGGTTGCGCAACGGAGATCGCATCTCACTTAGGCAGCGTTCATACTTCGCGAAAGCAGTGGCGATCGCCGCCGATTGTGCGCGGTACCATGCGCCGAGGCGCCGCCCAATCGCTATCTGCGCTCCGAAGGCTTTTGGGAAGAAGCGACTCAATTTCATGCTTTTTTCCTTTAACTGCAATTTTCTTAGATACTGAAGCTTGGTTTGACACAAAGAAAGGTGAACCCAACTTAATGGCTTTTGTTTTCTATTTTCTTTCTTGATTCAGGATAAAAAATTTCTATTTTCATTCTTGATTCAGGATAAAAATGAGCAAAAAGCGTGAGAGCTTCATTCAAGGTGAGTTTTTATTGTTTCTTTCTTCATTCGTCGAGCTTATACATGAGGTTATAAAGTTTTCACCTGTTGAAGTTCGTAAAATGACTAGTGTTTCGAAGAATTCTCCAGCTTCTCTCTTCTTGCAACCTCGGCATGTTAGTAGTAAGTGTTATAATATGCTTGTGCCTTACGAGGTTGATAGGTGGAACAATTTATTCAATATGGCCTAACGTTTCGACTGAATCGTCGTCATCAGAGGCCTGAATGTGTTTCAAGGATTAGATTGCGCTCTACCCCACCAAGCGCCTCGTCAACTCTAGCGGTTCCGACATCGTGTCAGGAACCCCTCGAGAAACCCCGTCATCGCGAAAGTCAACTCACCGACGGTTCCACCTTATAAGCGGCAGTGTCCGCTGCCACACAAGAGCGATATTAGTTGTAAATGAGGAATACTGCGCTGTCTCCGTATAATGAAAATATTGTGGAGACGCACGTAGCGCTCTGTCATTCTACAGCTCGCAGTGTGGTATAAACGGCAGAAGGTCATTTGTTATTGCAGGACACTCATCTCGGCTGTTCATTCTGGGTTTTCTGGTGAAAATCCAGAACGCTTCTAATGCTTTTCTTGCAGAAATTTCCGTCTCATGTGCCAGCAATACGCACTTTATTTCGAACTCCACGCCATTATGTTGCTCAACTTTATGTCTTCCGAGGGCTGTTGTTAGGGTACCGCGTCTCATACTAGCAAGATGTTCTTTGATGCACTGCCAAGACCCTTCCTGTTTCCCCAATATAAGTAGAGTTACATGCCTGGCACTGGATTTCAATATATGCCCACTTGCCATCAGTCGCAAGCGCTTCCCATGTGCGGGCATTGCTAAACCAATGTTCAGATAAAGCCAACTGCTTGTCGTAGAGTCTGTTGCGAACCAGTTGCCGTTTGATGTTCTCGTTAGGTATATTCACCAACTGCACATCGTCCTGCAACTGTGCTCTTACTATACTCCGTTGGATTGCAGAGCTCACCTTTTCAGAAATTAAGGGAATGCATAAGGGTAGCTTATTTTGACGCGGTACCTCTCGTATTATAAAGGGCTGGAACCGTCGCGTGTGAGTTGACTTCGCCGATGACGGGCGGGTTTCTTCGAGGCGGTTTCTGGGACACGATGTCAACCGCCTTAGAGTTGGACGAGCTGCGCTTCGGTGGGCGTTAGAGGCGCAACCTAATTCTTGAAAAACACATTCAGCGCCTCTCGATGACATTCAGTCGAAAACGTTAGGCCATAATTGAATAATTGTCTCCACCTATCCAACTCGTTTAAGGCACAAGGGCATATTATAACACCTAGCCTGTTTCGCGTCCTAGTGAGCTTCTTTTGCTTTCTTTTTTTTCTTTGTTTTGACTCGACTTGTAAACTGTAAATTTTTAGAAGTTGGAACAATTCAGACGATAAAGACTTCTAAGGCGCTTGCATAAAATGAAACAACAAAAACAGAAGAAACAAGAAGAAGCTCACCCAGGAAACGCAGTTGGCCTTATCCCGACCCAAAAAGAACTGAAACCTCGTTACCTCATATTCCAGATCCGGCTATGTATAGAAAGTCGTAAGTTATCAGTTAGTAGCCATTAAGCAAGAGAAAAGAAGGTCTCACAAGTTGGTTTCCTTATTTATCAAGCGAGCAGTCTATAATTGCGTTGGGGCGCGTTCTGCCACGTACCGACGATCGCGGCGAAATCCCACGAGTCGCCAACGGTCGCGCGATCGCCGCTGACGATCCCTTTAGGCATTGCTTCACAGTCGAGGCGTCCGCGTTTCTCTGGAACCGCGGCGGTTCGGCCGAAAGATTATTATATTTGATATTTATTTCGAATTATATCTACTGGGCGGTTGGGCGAAAGAGTCCTTGATACGAATCGACGGGCGTTTCGCCAAACCGCGACGTTTTTCGCCTTCGACGAAACGCTAGCTCGATTGCCGTGGCGTTTTTCGCCAGCGAAATCGATACACATCTATGCTTTTCGCCCAACCGCCGAACCGCGGCGACGGTCCGGCAAAACTTGCGCTTGGCGATTCTCCGATCGATGACTATTTTGCCGCTTGCCCGTTTCGTCGCATCGTACGCCATACTGTGAACAACTTCTTAAAGGCACACGTGACAGGTGCATGGTAAGCCCCCGCAGTGCTTACACTGACAGCAGCTTCATGGTAAGCGAGAATTATCTCTACTATTCCTACTGTAAACAACGGCTACGTCTGCTTATTTCTTTGTTTGCCCATAAAAAATCAGTTCTACTTGAAGAGTAACTCAGATAAAGGACGTTCAGGGGATTGTAAGCCATGCGGATAAGAGATGAAAGGCTACACGCTACTTATGCTAGGCACCTTCAACAAGGGGCGGGGCCTGCGCCAAAAGAAGAGCCATCGTAAACAAGAATTCATCATTCGATTTCCGAGCAGCCTACAGATGGGGAGGGGGGAGGGAAATTGGACTACCGTTAGCAGGGCGGTTCACATGCTGGCCAAGTGCTTCATGAAAATGCTTTATTCGGCCATAAAATTGCAAGGAATCTTAACTTAAAACCGAACCCTATTCGTTTCCTCGCTGATGCGTTTTCTACGCTCCTTCTTTGCTTTCTACAATAGGAACCATTAGCTGCCATCGTCTCAGCAAACTCATACAGTTGCTAAAGTAAATACGCTCATCTCAACAAAATTTTAACATTTTTCGAAAAAATAATCAAGACTCACGGGTAGGCGAATTCTACAAGGCCTGAAAAGAACTGCTTCCCACACATAATGATTGCAAGCT